ATGCAAATGAAGCACCAACCCAAGGCAATCAGAATGTAGAATTATTGTTTTTATTAAGTTGTTGTCAGAAATCTTGGCAACCAGGGACCAATGAAAGCAATCATTTTAACTTAAACACACCCAAAACGTTTTCATTAGGGTCAGGGTTACCAGCTAAGATGCCTTAAACAGCTTCTAATTAAATCATTTCAGCAATGTAATCGTGCTGTGCTGTGTTCACACTGGCACAGTGGTGGCATCTCGTTCCTTCATTCTGATTTATTTTTCTTTGTCATCATTACTCCCATCTGAGTGTACCAGTCTGGAGATGCCTCACTAAACTACTGGAGGGCTTTACATTTGAAACTATAATGTCCCAAGTTTAAGAGGGCAAATTAGAGTAGATCAAAGAAAAACCCTGGACCAACATATGATCAGTTACACTGATTAAACAGGGAGAAATTAAAATCCTACCACTAATTACATTTTAGCTTTAAGTAGAGGCTTATAAGGCCTTTATCTTATGTGGCTGGGGAAAATAAAGCCTCTGGTCACTGTTTGTAGAAATATGATTATATATGTTTGTTTATTAGTGTATGTACTGTCACAAAAGATGGCCAATCAGACACTGAGAAAATAGAACTAAGCAGTATTGTATCAAGGCAAAACTACTCTGTACCAACTTTTAAGCCTGTGACAGAGGACACATAAATTACAGCACTGTATTACAAATATGTCACTTCAATTTCATAAACACACCATGAAGTCAAGGTATTAGAGGATCTGGTGCTAAGCCTTAAAGCTGGTAGTGTTTTCCAATTTCACGAAACCAAAGGTGTGATGTTCCAACTTATTCACACCTTCCTGGGACATCTTGCCTCCCAAAACCTTGCATAAGATCTATCAGAGAGAGAGAAGAGCCTTAGAACAGAGAGCTCTTGTGATGTATGTGTGTGTGTGTGCGCGCGCGCGTGCGTGTGTGTATGTGTGTGATTGTAGCTAGCTATCAACCTAGCTTTGGGACTTTGGTTTTCAAATTGCAATTGGCTGAGGTTCGAGGGTATTATTCTCCTCTTTTGTTTGGCACACACAGTGATGTAGTCTCTTCTATGTCCTCCTTCTGTCTCTCTGACACACACACGAGCAATCTGTCACACACACCAACCTCCCAGTTGTTTTCCTCTCGCCACAATATATTTATCAGCCTGTCCCAGCAGACGAGATTCAGCCCAACTTCCTAGACAACCCCAGAAGCTAGAATCCACTTTGTGTGTGTGTGTGTGTGTGTGTGTGTGTGTGTGTGTGTGTGTGTGTGTGTGTGTGTTCGTGTTCGAGTGAAAAGTTGCTGAAAAACTAGCAAGAGAGAAAGAGGGAGAGACAATGAATACTAACACCTGCTCTTAAAGCTCTGAAAGTCAAACAATATTTGTCATGTAGATTAGCCTCCTCTCTTTTTTCTGCATTCATTTTTCATCCCAACTCGCCTCATGCTAGGTGACTGGTAGTGTGTGAACGTGAAATTGGATTGTGAGTGTTCCCTAAAATTAGATAAAACTTTGATGATCCCCTGAATGCAGTCATGCCTGTGGCTGAGCAATCTATGCCTGCCTGTGCTTTGGTCTGCCCTTTGTTGGTGTGTTACAAACTGGGGAGCCTTTCCGGATATTTTCTTAGCTCATTGCTCAAACACACAGGGCTGCAGATGTACTAAAGGCCTCATATTCTATGACAAACAACACAAAGTTAAGCTCCTGACAAAACCCATAAAGTCAGCAGAACAAGAAAAGCCATGCAATTACACATCCTCCTCCTGTCTGTGCTCCTTGTCAGCGCCTCTTTATAAAGACTTAACACGCAGCAAAAGGAAGTAAAAGAAACCTTGCAAAGTCAGGTGCTGTCAAAATGAGCCTAAGTGAATGCACAAAAATGCTGTTTAGCAACATAATGTCACTTAAAGAGCAATTTCAACCTATATGTCAGCACACACACACACAATCTGCTAATCTCTGTGAGGAAACTCAAGATGCTCACAAAAAAACTGCCAGAAACCCGTCTCCAATTAAATTCTGCCTACATATTCCAAGTCATTAAGAAGTGAGCTGGTGATGTGTTGAGATGTAGCAAAGGAGAAAAAAAAACAATGCTTTATCCAGTTTAGGAAATGATGTCCGAGTTATTCTGCATCATTGCCATCATTATATGACACACCTGTGTCTTGCTTTCTATGACGAATAGGTCGGCTTGCTGGAAAACAACAAGAGTGAGATTGTTAACCTGATTGAGGCTCTCTCATTGTTTCTCAGCATGCTCAAGTATAACCTTCACTTTCCTGTAAATTGGTCAGAAACCATGGTTATGGCCAGAAATTTTGGCAGTGATGAACAAGCTTTTCATGTATTCTGTAGCTTCTGTGTTTTTATTTTTTGTTTGTTGTTTTTGAAAATTTTCAAGTTTCAAAAACTTTTATTGGCAGTAAATCAAATTTTTAATCTGGACTATGATTGTACTACATTATGTTTATACAGCACCGGCTTAAATACTAAATTCTACAAAGTAACATCAAATGTATTGTGTGCCTATCATTTGCACATAGATTGAGACAACATTTAACTTTTTTAATAACTACATACTTTCCTCACCTGTGCCCAGATGCATATTTTCTATATAAATCGTGTAAACCTCAGTAATGACAGTGCTTATAGTCTGTGGTTCCAAAGTATCCTCATGCAATCAAAAGTTAAAATACGGTATGAGCAAACTGCAACCATAAACCCATTAGGAAAGTGATTACTGAGGCCATAAATCAAAAATTGCTCAAAAACTTAAATACACCTTCTTTAAGTATACAGAGGAGTGTCCCCGCCGCCGCTGGTCATTGCCACCAATTTGAAATTTAAGGTACTTCTGCACTGGCTTTAGATTTAAGGCTCGGGAACATTGCTCTGTCTTTGAGGATCCACATTACAGCATTAGCATTAGTGTAAGCTAATGCTGCTTGCCTTAGCTTGCATTGCTGCTAGCAAAATACTGATTTGAGTGGATAATGTAAGCTAGCGCATTCAAACTTTAATGATGTCTCTGCCTGCATTCTGCTGATCTACTTGGATCAATTAATGCTGCAAATAAATGTAAATCTAGTTAACTTTAGCTTGCTAAAAATATTACTAACACAATACTATCTAAATTGAAATAATTAAAAAATGTAGCAATGTTTTCTAACTTTTTTAATTATTTACAAAGAACAGCGGTTTTCTAGATGTTACACAGAACAGCCTACTTTTAATTATACTTTGCTGTATTTGCAATAAAAGTATCATTACTTGTATACATACTTTTCATTCTTTCCTACTATATCCTGACCAGCCACAGTATTAAAATCACTCGTCTAATGATGTTAGGTACTAATTCTTGGTCACTGAAAAGTAAAACTACAAAGTCACTTTAAGGTTTAGATAGATAATGTCAGAGGTCAGAGTAGAGTGGCCAGACTGCTTTGATCTGAAATAAAGGCAAACATTCAAATGACCGCTTTCTACAATCAAGTGGTTGCCAGAAAACAACATCTCTGCTTATCAGAAGAGCATCTCTGAGCATACAACATGTTAAACCTTGGAGCAGATGGTGCCACTTCAGTCAGTTCGCTCCACTCAAATGACCACACAGTCACCAGATCTCAGACCAATGAACCAAACTGACCAAAATCCCCCTTGTTGAATCTATACAACAAAGAATTAAGGCAATTCAGAAGATACAGGGGATCCAAACTCTTACTAACAAGAAGTACATACTTAAGTGTTTAGTGAGTATATCAGGCTGTTAATGAAGTTTGCATTAACTGAGCTGTGAACCGAGTACCAACTTATTGTTTTGGTCTGTCAGAAACTTGCAAACTGACTAATTATGAACATAATCATAGCAACACTTCACAGGTACACACTGTATAACCAGAGTGTTACTGAGCATAAACTGCTTCCAGCTTGGAGGAATAAATCATCACCACCCCACCTGCTGCATCTACATCTGGTACTGGAACCGAACAAACTTGTGCAACACGCTCCCTGTCCAGCTGTCCACAGCTCATCCTTTCTGTACAGCCTACCTCAATGCAAGGCCAGCAAATAAGATTTTCAGTGTTATTATAGCTGTGTGGAAAATGTTGCTAAGTAATGTCAAAACTAAAGAAAACGAATCTGCATAAAAACCACAAATACTCTAAGGATTTGTAATTCATTGAATATTTGTTTTGTATCTAAGAGGTTTAAAGAGCAGAACAATTCAGTATCAACTCATTTGTTGAACAACATTTCTTCAAGCTTCTTTCTGAAATTAAATTGCTGCTAGTGCTGAGTGCACTGCACTCTTGCTGGTTATCCAACTATTTCATTGCAGCTCCAAGCAAGCATTAAATAGACATACTGTGAGTCTTTTTGATTCTCAAGTGTAATGCTAATTATGCTGAAATATGAACAAAAAATATGTTTTAGTTTTTTTGGACAGTGTACGATTGTGGTTCCAACACTGTGTGCTAAAGCAGACTGGTGTGGTCTATAAATATTCAAATATTATTTTAGATTTACTAAATGCATAGAAGGATAATTGTCTTCTGGACTGTAAGTGGCTCACACTAGCTGTGTGTTGAATGTGTTACATACATATCGGCTGGAAGAAAAAAAAACCTGAACCTCAAAGATCCAAGTCAAGTGGAACATATTTTTCGATGGATGTTAAAGTTGTTCCCATAAGTGTTACAGGTTTCATCACAGCGACAACAGTGACAAGACATATAGCATCTGAGAATCAAACTCAAAACACCACACCGCAGACTTACCGCCAAAATACATCTTGCATTAGTTATCAGCAGGCTTTTGAATCGCCATACAAACCTTTTATACGCATTCAGATGTTAAGTGAAGCATTTTTCTTCCAAAGCAGTTCAGAAACGAAACCAAAGCATTCTTCAGCGCAACCTCTTTATAGCTCAACTGCAGCTCAACAGCTTGCTTAGAAACATGAACCCATACCTGATTCCATGAACTCTTGGTTGAAGTTGTTCCACGCCTCTTTGCTCTTTTCCAGGTTCTCCTCCATGACCTTGATGTCAGCAAAAGGACAGTTGCATTCTGGGAAGCGAGGAGAGCACCGGCACCAGCAGTCATTGTTGCGACAGAGCAACTCGCCCTCCGAGTTGCATGCCACGTAGCTGAGGGCTGCCTCCACAAAACGCCCACGCAGAAACTCTGGCAGGACATCTTGTAATCCTGGAAAGAAAAGGAAGCACATGGTAAAGCATTTGGGATTTTTTTTTTTTAGAATGCTCTTATTTTTGAACAAGCAGACTCTAAAAGAGTCATATTTTATTTTAGGCTATTTTTAAGGCTTCAAGTAAACATACATTTTTAGCACTTGCGATTTAATTGAGAAGACTGTGAAGTAAAATTCTTGACATTTGGCATTTCTAACCCAGCTGATTTCTTGTAGGATTTTAAACAATTGTTAATTTCCTTTATCATACACTCAACAAAAATATAAACGCAACACCTTTGTTACTGCTCCCATTCCCCATGGGATGGACGTAGAGACCTAAAATTCATTCCAGATACACAATATAACCATCCCTCCCAAACAGTGGTCACAAATCAGTCCAAATGTGTGGTAGTGGGCACATCTGTTATATTGAGATAATCCATCCCACCTCACAGGTGTGCCACATCAGGATGCTGATCTGACATCATGAGTAGTGCACAGGTGTACCTCAGACTGCCCACAACAAAAGGCCACCCTGGAATGTGCAGTTTTTTGCGCTATTGGGGGTCTGGGGACCCAGAACCGGTCAGTATCTGGTGTGACCACTGTGGAATACACCAGGCACAAATACACGCACACGCAGGTATGTACTGCCAATTTCCACATTTATTGAATTGTTTGTTTCGACAGCTGACTCAGTCGCACAGCCTGACAGCTCACGAGCCCAGCTGATCTTCTCGCCGCTCCTCCCCGTCTCACTATAAACACAGCGGAGGGAGACCATCATCAGTACATAAACACCATCAGCTGTTCTTACCGGCCTCGCAGCGCCGCCCTGTTGAGCCTTCTGCTCCACTCCTCCCCGGCAGCTGCGCCCGGGGCCACGCCTCCGCCACACACCCCCACCGCCTGTTCGAGGCCGGGGAGCCGTCCGGCCGAGCCAACTCCCCCCCTCGCGAGCGAGAGAGGAAATCGGCCACCGCCATCTGTGCCCCCGGCCTATGGATCACCTTGAACTTAAAGGGCTGCAATGCCAGATACCACCGGCTGATCCGGGCGTTGGCATCTTTCATGCGGTGGAGCCACTGCAGCGGGGCGTGGTCCGAACAGAGGGTGAATGAGCGTCCCAGGAGGTAATAGCGCAGGGAGCCGACCGCCCACCGGATGGCCAGGCACTCCTTCTCCACGGTGCTGTACCGGCGCTCGCGCTCCGCTAGCTTCCGGCTGATGTACAGGACAGGGCGGTCAGCTCCCCTCACCTGCTGAGACAAAACGGCTCCCAGCCCTCTGTCCGTGGCGTCAGTCTGCAGAACAAACGGGAGGGAAAAGTTAGGAGTGTGAAGCAGCGGCTCCCCACAGAGAGCGTTTTTCACTCGCACAAACGCCGCCTGGCACGGCCCCGTCCAGTGGACCAGATCCGGGGCACCCTTTCGAGTGAGATCGGTCAGGGGGCTGGTTAGCTGCGCAAACCCCGGCACAAAGCGACGATAGTAACCCGCCAACCCCAAGAACCGTCTCACCTCCTTTTTCGTCCTGGGGCGCGGGCAGGATGCGATAGCCGCCGTCTTCTCCACCTGTGGCCGCACCTGCCCGCCCCCCAGGTGGTACCCCAGATACTGCACCTCCCTCCGTCCAACCGCGCACTTCGTCGGATTGGCCGTGAGCCCCGCCCCCCTCAGGGACTCCAGGACCGCGGCCACCCGCAGCACATGCTCCGCCCAGGTGTCGCTGTGGATGATCACGTCATCCAGGTAGGCGGCAGCATACGCCGCGTGCGGACGCAGTACCCGGTCCATGAGACGCTGGAAAGTGGCCGGGGCCCCGAACAGGCCGAACGGGAGTGTCACGAACTGGTACAAACCGTACGGAGTGGAGAAGGCCGTTTTCTCCCTGGCCTCGGCAGACAAGGGAATCTGCCAATAGCCCTTGGTTAAGTCCAGCGTCGTGAAAAAGCGGGCCGTGCCTAACCGGTCCAGGAGCTCGTCGACCCGAGGCATGGGGTAGGCATCAAAGCGTGACACTTTGTTCACCCTGCGATAGTCGACACAGAACCGTATAGACCCATCCTTCTTCGCCACCAGAACGATGGGGCTACACCAGGCGCTGTGCGACTCTTCTATTACTCCCATCCTCAGCATTTCCGCCAATTCCCTCTGCACGATTTTTCGCTTATGCTCCGGGAGTCTGTAGGGCCGTGAACGCACCGTCACGCCGGGCTGCGTCACGAAATGGTGCTCGATGAGGGACGTCCGGCCGGGCAGGGGGGAGAACACGTCCGCAAAGCGCTGTTGCAACGCGACAACGTCCGCTCTCTGGGCCTGTGTGAGATGGTCATCACAAGGGAGGGAGGTGGGAATGATAGAATTTGGCACCTCAGGCCCCAACTCATCTCTCTCCTTCACCAGGCTCACCAGAGAAGCGGTTTCGACCTCTCGCCACAGTTTGAGGAGATTGAGGTGATAAATCTGCGCGGCTCCTCCCCTGTCCGACCGAGCGACCTCATAGTCCACGTCCCCGACACGCCGTGTGACCACAAAGGGACCTTGCCACTTGGCGAGCAACTTCGAGCTGGAAGAAGGGAGTAACACAAGCACTTTATCCCCCGGTGAAAATTGCCTGAGTCTAGCCCCTCTGTTATACAGGTGTTGCTGACGCTGCTGAACCTGGAGCAAATTCTCCCGTGACAACCTCCCCAAAGTGTGGAGTTTTGCTCTCAGGTCCAACACGTACTGAATCTCATTTTTGGCGGGGCTCGGACCGTCCTCCCAGCTTTCTTTAATCAGGTCGAGCACCCCACGTGGCCTCCTGCCGAACAGCAGTTCAAAGGGAGAAAATCCCGTGGAGGCCTGGGGCACCTCCCGCACCGCGAATAACAGAGGGTCTAGCCAGTGATCCCAATTGCGTTCATCCTCGTTAATGAACTTCCGAATCATGGACTTTAAGGTCTTATTCAGCCGCTCCACCAGCCCGTCAGTCTGAGGGTGGTAGACGCTGGTCCGAATAGATTTAATGCCCAGTAATTCGTACAGTTCCCGCAGTGTACGAGACATAAACGACGTGCCCTGGTCAGTCAGTATCTCTTTCGGGATTCCGACTCGGGAGATGACCTGAAACAGTGCCTGCGCCACACTCTTAGCCGAGATGGTGCGCAGCGGAACTGCTTCCGGGTACCGCGTTGCGTAATCCACCAGGACTAACACAAAGCGGTAACCGCGTGCACTCCGGTGAAACGGCCCGATGAGGTCCATGCCGATGCGCTCAAACGGGACCTCAATGAGGGGGAGAGGGCGCAGAGGCGCTCTCGGTATGGCCGGCTGGTTAACAAGTTGGCAGTCCGGGCAGGACGCGCACCAGCGGCGCACATCCGCTCGGATGCCAGGCCAATAAAATCGGGCCGTTATTCGCTCCAGAGTTTTCTCGTAGCCCATATGCCCTGCCATGGGGTTATAGTGGGCCGCCTGGAAAAGCGTTTCCCGGCGGCCCTGCGGCACCAACAACTGGGTGTGTGTTTCCTCAGTCTGAGTGTCACGACTCACTCGATATAATCGGTCATTTAATAAGACGAAACGCGGGTAGGTCTGCGCGGCCTCAGGGCGCACCACGTGACCATCAATAGCCATCACTTGGTCAAAGGCTGAGCGTAGGGTGCCGTCACGAGACTGCTCCAGTGGGAAATCACCCATGGGGGACACTTCCGGGGCCGGCGGGACGTCCCGCCGGCTCCTCCCCCCGGAGTCGGTGTCGGACGACCCCGCGTCACCGCTGAATGCCGCGCACACGCTACACCCCGCTTCCGGTCGTGATCGCACTCCCGCGTACTACCCCAGTAGCTGATGAAACCCCGGCCAATTGGTACCCAGAATCAGGGGGTGCGACAGGCGCGGGCTAACCGCCGCCGTTACCCTATGTGTATGGCCCTTGTATTTTAGCAGCAGCGGCACTATGGGGTACCGGTGCACATCACCATGAACACACCTCACCTCCACCCATTCTGCCTCCAATAATGCCCCGGGGCGAACCAAGCCTTGGTGCACGAGGGTCTGTGTGCAGCCCGTGTCCACCAACGCTTGGCGTATACCCCCTCGAGTCCTTACCGGAATACTGTATGTCCCTCCTGGACCGGGGGAGGGTGCTGGGGTGCCAGCAACGCGGAACACCTGCCCCACTTCCATAAGCGGACAATCCCTCCTCAGGTGTCCCGGCTGCCCGCACTTCCAACACTCCGGCCCCGGCGTTTGTGCTGCCCTCCGTGGCTCGGGGGCGGCTCCACTCGGCTCAGTTCCCCTGGACGGCACCATCGCCGCGAACGGGTTAGTGGGGCTCAGCGCCGGCAGCCGCTCTGCCTGCCCTGGTGCCGGCACACGGCGCCTCGGGGCCGGCACTGGGGCCTGTTTGGTCGGCCTCCGTCCGGCGTCCCCGGACTCCCCTGCTCCAGCGGCAAGGTGGTCCTCCACCAGCGTCACCGCCACCTCCAAGCTTGCGGGCCGGTGGCACCGGACCCATCTCGCCGTCTCCGCTGGCAATCCTTCCGTGAACTGCTCCAGCACCACCTTGTCCACCAGCTTCGTCTCGCCCTCCGATGTTCCCGGCTGCAGCCAGCGCACCGCCGCGTCGCGCAGCTGTCGGGCCCAGGCGAATGGTCGGTCCGTTGTAGCCAGCCGACAGGCCCAGAACCGCCGGCGATGGTCTAAAACGGTGAGCCCCAGCCTGTCCACCACCGCCCGGCTCACATCCGGGAAGCTGCTCCTTGACGCCGGAGGCAGACTCAGGGCCGCTGTTTGTGCCTCCCCAGACAGCAGGGGGAGCAGCCGAGGGGCCCACTCCTCCCGCGGCCATTGGCAAGCCTCCGCCGTGGCACGGAAGGTCTCCAAAAAAATCTGTGGGTCGTCCCCGTCCCCCATCCGGGGCACCGTCACCGACAGTGGCGAGGGCTTCGGCGTGGCAGCGGCCCCGACCAGCCGCTCCAGAACTTGTGTCTGTCGGTCCGTTTGCTCCCGCAGCGCGGCCAGGTGGG